AAAAAAAAAAAAAAATAGTTATGATGAGGCCAGGTGCACTAGCTCACATCTGTAATCCCAACACGTTTGGAGACTAAGGCTAGAGAATTGCTTGAACCCACGAGTTGAAGACCAGCTTGGGCAACATAGCAAGACCTCATTCTACAAAAAGTCAAAAAATTAGCCGGGCATGGTGGCGTGCACCTGTAGTCCCTGTTACTTGGGAGGCTGAGGCAAAAGGATTGCCTGAGCCCAGGAGTTTGAGGCTGCTGTGAGCCGTGATTGCACCACTACACTTCAGCCTGGGTGACAGAGTGAGGCCTGACTCAAAAAAAAAAAAAAAAAAAAGGTCATGATGGTAAATGTTATTTGTATTTTACCACAACTTTACAAAAAGTTCTTCTTTCTTCAAAGGGTATGGGAGGCAGATTGTAGAGAAACTGAGCATAGCTCAGGGCCCCTCACAACCTAGCAGGAAATCTTTGAAATGAGGTGGGTGTGTGAATTTGCACAGCCTCATTCCTAGCTCCCTTGTCTGTAACCCTTTGGTAGGAATTTCAGTGGAAGAACTGACGACCGTCCCTGCCATTGCAGGCACTGACTTCAGCGGCAGTCCTGCCCGCATGTCCTGGTGTGACCAGAAGATTAGATTACAGATTGATTGGACCTGGGAGGGGGGAGGGGGTGATGCAGCGGGTCCGTTGGCCCGGTTTGTTTCCTTGGACGGTTTCTCACCTCTAGCTTATCAGCTTGTGTGGCCAACGAGTCTCACTGGGATCTGAGCCTCACTGAAATCGCGTGTGCAGATCCTACTGCTCTGATTCCAGAATGCTACCCAGTCCCATGTGGATTCGGTTCTGAATTGCCACCTTTGAGACAGCAAGCATTTGGGATGTGAGATAAGCTAATTTACATGTGTAGTGATAACCTTCTTTAAAGGACTTTAACAATCACTTTTATAACACTGCTTTGGAAGGATCGAATGCGATAAAGTAGAGAAAGAGACTCCTCACACACCTGGCAAACCTGATGATGCCAGGAGAGTGGGACTGTCCCTGGACTCTTATCAGTTGTCTCATTTTCGTGTTGTTTGGGTGAGCGCTGGCCTTTGGATTCCCTGGAAGGTGCTCAGCCATGACCAGCCAGACTTTTCCTTAGGAATCTCTGAATTCCCTTCAATGCTGACCGAATTCAAAACACAGCTCAAGCCCTAGAGATGAGAGATTCTCCAGGTGGGGGCTGCCCCATGTTGAGCTTGATTGATGGCTCCAGCAGGGCCAGGGCTTGGGATCCTGAAGTCTCTCTTGCTTGGTGGGAATCTCATCCGTCATCCCACAAATGCAACTCTGGGGTCACCAGGGGACTTGGCCGGGAACTGTGAATGGCTTTCTACCAATCTGCCCCATTCCCGGAGAAAACACCCAAAGTGAATACCAGGCAGGTAGGAGGACATTGCTTCTCTGCAGGAAGCTCGCTGGTATTAAAACTTACAGGAACTAGATTGAGAAGAAACCAGGGAGACTCAGGCTAACATTTTAACTGAAATACTGTTTTGGGAATGTTATATCTGAGGCTCAGTTTCCTCACCTGTCTAATATGGACATAAGAGTTATTTTCCTCAGCACTTTTCCAGCAAAAATGACTGGATCTAGGCTGAGTGTACAGAGTCCCAGGGGGTTGAGAAGTGAACAGGATGAGGATAGAGCTTGGGACGTATGGGGATAAGAGATGCTGCAGTCAAGGGTTAAATATAGCAGGCAGTGGCAATTTAATGAGAGAAATATTAAAACAAATTATTTCCCCATTCTAGGTAGAAGTGAATGCCGAGGAAGTTCTTTGGGCATGTACAAGACAAGGGATGACCCCCCCAATAATGGAATTATCTTTTGGAGAGCAGTTATTTTGGGGGGATTCCTTCAATGTGTCAGCACATTTTATGATGGGTGATTTCCAGCACCAAAATTTTTGACCCAAATGACATCATGATTCCTATGCCCCACCCTCCCTATTTATCCCATCTTACCCTGAGCAACCTTTTTTTGTGTTTCATCCCCATGAAAAAAGTCCTCAAAGGGAAGCATTTTGCCAAGGTGAAAGAGGTGGAAAAAAAAATGGCAGAAACACTAAAAGGTATCAAAATTAACGAGTTCCAAAACTGTTTTGAGCATCTGTTTGGGATGCTCAAACTGTTTGGGAAAAGCATCTCGATAGGTGTACTGCCTCTAACGGAGAGTACTTTGAAGGTACTAAAGTTTAAACATGTAAGAATACATACACAATTTTTTATAAATAAATTCCAGGCTTTTTTGGGTCCCCCTTATATATAGCTAATCAATATACATGTTATTCCTTGTGGGTTTTTAATTTATAAATGATAACACAATTTTCTATCATAATATATTGAGATTCCGTTTCTTGGCATGAACTTTTAAGAGTGTTGAGTCTGAGATTTTATTCTCGCCCTTTCTTTCTCTCCTTCCCTCCCTTCACACTGAACTTGAACTGCATTCTGGGGGTGGGAGTATGCCAGTCTAGCTTGGGAGTTTATTTTATGGCTGGCAGGTGATTGTGCTAACATGAAATAAACCCCTAGGTTAGTAAATAATGTGATTGTTTAAGATTAGTCTTCAAAAGGAGGCAGCCCTACTCTTGTAAAAATTTAACCTCATAGTCAGGAAGTGACATTCATATTGGTTAACAGTCTTGCTGCTGCTTATAAACTTATAAGCGGACCCAGAGATCAGAAATCAGGTCTGAAACCTGATTCTCTTTTGTTCACAACGAATTGCATACATTTGGAAAGGAAGAGAATTACCACAACATTTCTATTTTAGCTAGTCTCTCTTTACCAAAAAAAAACAGATGGAAAAAATGCAGCAGTTTTTAGGTTATCTTTCCTCCACACATCCTGGATATCTACTCCAGAGACGGAAATAGCTCTTGTATTTAACAACCAAAAAAAAGGTGCTAATTTCTAGTCTGATAAATCCCCCTAAATTATTAACTTTGACAGTTAAAACCTATTGCAGCCAAAATATGGATTTTGACAATATATTTAGAATAGCAATACCATATTTCATTAAATCAAAAAAATGCCATATTATAAGACACAGCCTTATTCCTGAGATGTTAAAAATGTGGAAAAAAAACTATGCATCTTAGACTGGGTGAAGTGCATATGGCGTAAGAATTTTCTTTTTAAAATTTTGAATAAATAAAATGTAGGATGCTTCCTTACCTCCTCCTGAAAGGGCTGCTGGACATAGCATGGTCTTTTTCAATAAAATAAAAATTTTTTTAAGAAAAAAATTAATAACTTTATAATGTTTCTGAAAATAGTTTTATTGATTCATTTACATCCATAAATTAGGATTAGGACTCAATCTGCAATATCTCAGAGTTATTTTTACTTCCTCAGTTCAAGTCTCATATGATTCTTCTCTGTGCTACTATATTCATTTCCAAATTGGGGCTTTTAAATGTGGGCTATATTACTCTAAGATGAAAGTGCTAACTTAAAAGAATTTTAAATATATATTTTACAGTTTGTCCTCTGTAAATTCTACATCCTCAAATTCAACGAACTACAGATTGAAAATATTCAGAAAAAAACACAATAAAAAATAATACAAATAAAAAACAATACAGTGTAATAACTGTTTATATGATGTAACTTACATTGTATTAGTTGTTACAAGTAATCTGGAGATGATTAAAACTATACAAGAGAAGACCAGGCATGGTGGCTCACACTTGTAGCCCCAGCACTTTGGGAGGCCAAGATGGGAGGACTGCTTGAGCCCAGGAGTTTAAGACCAGCCTAGGCAACTTTGCAAAACCTCATCTCTACAAAAAATAAAAAAATTAACCAGGCATGGTGACACACACCTGTAGTCCCAGCTACTCAGGAGACTGAGGCTGGAGGATCACCTGAACCCAGGAGGTCAAGGTTGCAGTGAGCCATAATTGTGCCACTGCACCACAGCCTGGGCAACAGAGTGACACTCCAGCTCAAAAAAAAAAAAAAAGTATATGGAAGGATGTGTATAGGTTATATGCAAAATACTATGCAATTTTCAATAAGGGACTTAAGCATCCTCAGATTTTGGTATCCAGGTGGGTCCTAGAACCAACCACCTATGGATACCAAGGGACGACTGATGCTCCTCGGCTTATGAATGGGCCATGTCCTATCATGAGTTTAAAACATTGTAAGTTAATAACCCAATAAGCCCATAGTAAAGTTGAAAAAAGCATAATTTGAGCCATCATAATCAGGACTGTCTGTATATTAAAAGTTATATAGTATTAAAGTAGATATGTGTTATTACAGTTAAGGAAATAAAGTATCATTGCAGAAAGTTAGGGTGATTATAATCTTTTAATGTTTGTAAAACTATGTGAGGAATAGCTGTTAATCACCATATTTACATATTGGGAATTATTCTCTTATAAATTAGTATTATATTTTGATAGATTTTAATTCTTTTCTCCAACTCTTTTTATTTGTCCTTTAATAATCTTATGTGTTTTTTTTTTTTCCCCCAGATTACTATCTTGGATGCAAAACGGAGCATGAACATTGGGATATTTCTTAAGCAATTTAAGAAGTAAGATTTTTGCACACATTTGAAACTTTAGTCATATGGTGCCCCAGCAACAAAGTCTGTGGGTGCGACCAAGGTGAAATTCAAATTATCATATGAGTGAAAGTCATTCCTCACACCTTCAAATCCTTCTTAGACACATGGCTTGGTGAACCTGTGAGTGTCTATTATTTTCTGCTGTTTTCCTTCAAGAAAGCATACTGTAGTGGTCTGAATTTTATGGAGAATTGCCCCAGGGCATCCATTCAGGCCTGTGGTCTCAGGGAGTTCAGATCCATCTTTAGTGGTGCCCCTTCAGGGGAGTCTGGGCTGAGGAACTGGGGAGCCAGTAGAAAGGTGAGGGCTCTGCAGGAGTTCCAATGAGACCAAAGGGGATTAATTCTCTTCCTCCAAAGAAGACTCCCAGTGGTTGCTGTTGCTTTCTGCTTTTTTGGGATGCCCCCTCGAGGATGTTTGGGGGTGAAGGGAACTCTAAGCAGTGTGTCAGGGTCCCCCAATTCCTGGCAGCGGGGCTGTTGTGTGCACGCACACATAACTGCCTGCCAGCTTGAGAAAGGAGGCAGGATGGGAAGGAGGGGGGAGGAGATTTGTTTTAATTTCCACTGGCTTGTGTCTCTTTTGGCACTCCAGCAAACGTGATATGGCATGTGACTCATGTTCTTTTGAAGGTCTCCTCAATCCATTGTAGAAGATATTCATCAAGGAAAAAGTGGGCATTATGGATCAGAGACATTGCGAGAGTTTCTGAAGCTTTTGCCAGAGTCAGAAGAGGTAAGGAATTTGGCTTATGAGCTGTACATGCTAAGAATGATGATAAAAGCTTAATATTTTTAAGCATGTCAAAGCTTCCATGGGAAGGGCACTCTTCTACCCAGAGCTGAAGTTTTCTCTCATAAAATTAAAAAATGACCCAGCAGAAAGAGTGCGGGTTATGGAGTCAAAGGGTCTAGGTTCATATCTGAGTTGTATCCTTAACTGTGAAACTTGGGCAAGGTTCTTAACTCCTGTGAACTTTAGTTTCCTCATGTAAAGGGAGGAGAGTGATGCTGATGGTCAAAGTGATTAAGCCCTAGTTATGCATCTAACATAGTACTTGGTTGGCACTTGAGAGCTCAGTATATTTTGGCTTCCTTTCCCATCATCTAAAGATGACCTTTGCATAGAGTAAGCCCAGGTTAATTCAAAGTATATATACTTAAAAGAAAACAGTCATTTTTGAATAAAGATGCTCTAAAAATTTGGAGAGGTAGGTAAACTGTTAAGAAATGTCATCTGCATAATTGACTCAGAGGTGGAAGTTGTGATAGCAATATGGTACCATAATATAATGTCACATGTTTTGTTTGGACTGAATTAACTGAACTGCTGAGTGGTTAGATGCTTGATAGGAAAAAACCATAATAATAGTTTTATAAAACCTTCCAACATCGGGATATTGTCTTTGATTTCTGAAGAAAATTTCTTTGAAAAAATTCAATAAGAAATTACAGGAATGCATATACTTGTAAACACTTAAGTAATGTAGAGCCTTATAACATTTTTTACTTTATAAGTAAAGGGTGATGTTTTGTAAGGGTGGCTTTTCACATGCACTGCTCTCTCCTCCCTCCCCCTCCAACTCGTCTTCCCAGACATAGTTTATGAACCTTGGCTGTGGTGCCATCACCAACAAGAGAGATACATTTGTACTTTTTCTTTTTTTTTTTTTTTGAGTTGGAGTCTCACTCTGTCGCCCAGACTGGAGTGCAGTGGCTGCTCCCGGCCACCGCAGCCTCAACCTGCTGGGCTCCAGCGATCCTTCCGCCTCAGTCTTCCAAGTAGCTGGAACTGCAGGCACGCGCTACCATGCCCGGCTAATTTTTTGATTTATTGTAGAGATGAGGTCTCGCCAAGTTGCCCAGGTGGGTCTTGAACCCGCGGGCTCAGGCAATCCACTCACCTCAGCCTCCCAAAGGCGCGAGATTACAGACTGAGCCACTGAGCCCGGCTTGTACTTTTTCTTTTACACTGATTCGTGTTAACCTCACAATGCCAAATTCAGGATCTTAGCGAGTAACCAGAGATCTAGTTATCTCATAACCTGGGCTCTCTCTACCTCAGGTTTTCTGTTTGCTAATTAAGTGTCAGGAACCTAAGCCAAGGTTAATTAATGGCAGTTATTAATGTTAGGAAAGGGTCTTAAAGTCTTAAAGGAAAGGTTCATTAAGTCATAATTCACCCTGATCATACATACTGAACAGTCTTTAATCTTTCTTTTATGTAAAGAATGGGAGTTCCAAAATCTTTGTTAGGATGGATAGAGTTTTTAATTAATTTGAGTTTTAGAAGATTTTGTTGCTCTTGAAACTTTGTTCCCGCCTGGACAGTTTTCAAGACTCCTCCTGCCTGCCCCCTCCTAACTGACCTCATCGTTTTTTTAAGTGAGGATCAAATTTGACAGCACATGTGAAAGTGGCCTGGAAAGCTCTAAATTGATAACTCAAGGACAGGCACTAGGGAGGCAGCTAGCTTCATGCGGTGACCAGGTGGGAACCCGAATACGATTTTCTTAATATCTTCATTTCTCATTTAAAATTCAAAGGTGATGAGAAAATGCAGTGGGGGTTTTCAAAGAAGCAAATTAGCTTGCAGTCCTCTCACAATTTAAAGAAACTCTGTGTCTTTTGAGCCGTGTGGGGAGTGTAAATCAAAAGGAAGACAGTTACGGGCAAGATGGCAGAAACCCACCCAAGTGCTGCCAGCCTCTGGGGCACTGTCACCCCCAGGCAGGGAGCTTACCCCGGGGGACAGGGTCTTGCTGAGATGAAGCATTGGCTTGGGATCCTGACGTGCCTTCCCAGCCACCAAACCAGGCTGCAGCTGTGTCTCCCCCACCCTCAGTCCCAGTATCTGACAAGCCTGGTCACACTCCTGCTCCTTGTTTACATTTCTGACTCCTGGCTTCAGCTCGCCACGCCCTCCATGCTCAGCTGGGAGCTTCCTTCCCAGGAACACCCTGACGGTCCCCAAGGCTGCTGCAGCCCCTCCCTAACCACTCGGGGTGACTGTGCTGTGGGAGGGAGTCTCCGTGAAAGCTGAAGCCACTTCGTGACTGATGCCTGCCGTGAGGACAGATTGGCTTTGTTGTGAACGCTTCCTGGCCCCTGGCACTACCTGGACCCAGGGCCAACCCTGGAGTCTTTGAATCTCCAGATGGAGGCTGGAGGGTGGGGAGGAGGCTGAGGAGGAGGCAGGGCCAAGTGACAGAGGTTTAGGAATGTAGCAGAAATATGCTAATACATGCGTAAGTGTATGCGTAACCGAGTTACCCAGCCTGTGGTGCAACGTCCTGTCCTCATTTTTAGCACAAGTGAGGGCTCAACCTTTATTGAGTGGGCCCCATGTGCCAGGCACCGGGCAAGGCAAAATGAAGTGACATGAGATCATATGTTTAAAGAGCTTAGCCTAGTACCTGGCACACAGAACGTCAATAAATCATAGCTGTAATATGATATACAAAATATCTTTTGAATATTTTTCATTTAATCCTTGCAGTGACATTGTAAGTATTCCTCATTTTACAAATGAGAAACTGAGGCTCACACAGGTTAGTTAGGCCTTGTCTGGTGTCACATGATTGCTAAGTAGTAGAGCAGGGAACGGTGAACTTGAACCCGATGCCTCTGACCCCGGTGGTGCCTTCTGCTACACTCCATTGCCTCTTGCCAGAGGAAGGAAGGGCAAAGGTTGTCCAAGCCCCGCCTCACCCCCCAGCCTTTTCATCACCTCTGCTGTCACAGAGCACTGGTGTGAATAAGTGTCACTGGAATCATACTGTAATCTTATCAGCATGCTAAAAAATATGAGCGGAAACGGCCCTTTTCTTTCCCGCCTCTCAGCTGACAAACTGCCATGCCAAGGTTAATTGGTTGTCAAGGGTTTCTCTGCCCTCCACCACAGATCTGTGTCTAGTATGCTAGCTCATCCTTCCACCAATGTGTGGTTAACACTTGCAGAGGAAGAAGGTAGGCCCAGAAATAAAACCCTGGGAGTGTGCTCTCGTCCAGGACTGGTCCTCGAGGCCGTGGGACCTTGCTGTTCTCACTCAAAGCAGGTTGAGGTACCTCCTCTGGGTGTGTGTGTGTGTGTGTGTGTGTGTGTGTGTGTGTGTGTGTGTGTGTTTATTTATTTTTTTAAGGGACAAAATCTTGCTATGTTGTCCAGGCTGGTCTCAAACTCCTGGGATCAAGTGATCTTCCCACCTTGGCCTCCCAAAGTGCTGGGGTTACAGGCATGAGCCACTGTGCCTGGCCAACTCTGACCATTTTTATGACCTCTCTCTTACCCTCTTCCGTTGACTCTGCCATTGTGAGGGGAATGACAGGGAGGAAGCCAGAGGGTCTCCTGGTGGGTGGGTATGCTTGTGGGAACTTCTGCCATCTTGAGGCCATGTGACTGGAATTAGATGGAATGAGAGAGGCCCTCCTGTTGGAATGTGTGAGTCTCAGGGAGCTTGTCGTTGCTGTTATGACAGCAGCCAGGCCCAGCTGGGGTCAGCATGAATGTCTCTTGGCTCAGCCCACAGAATTATGCCTAACAGTGTTTAATAAATGCTTTTTGATCATGATGATGAGAATGCATAATAATTATAGGGTTTGTTCAGCACTCTTTCTCGCTTCCCTACCACTGTGAAGGTACAATAATCCCTCTTAATGAACATAAATCTCATTTTGAAATGGCACAGAGAACTGTATACACGGTATTTAAATACTGTCTTTTCATCACCCTTCTCTTGAAATCCATAAACATTTTTTAGCTTCTCACATAAGCGAAGGAGATTAATCATCACTCAGTTACAGTTTAGCACATGTTTAACAGAAACGTTGACCGAGTTTACTTAGCATGACCTGTTCTTATGCTTTATAGTGAAAGCTATGCTGTTAACATTCAGAAGCTTTGCACATGCTACATATATGGTCTCAGAGAAGTTATAACCTCCCTCTGTCCCTGCCCATATATAGTGAATTGTGAAACTCTAGTTCAGAAGGGATCAGAATTCAGCCTATGGATTTCCCAGTTTAGAAACCAGGCACTGATTTGACTTTAGCTAAACCAGAAGTGCCATGTGCTCCTAAACTGAGTACGGCTAAAAATGGTAAATTCACGCTGCGGCTCTTAATAGTAGGGAAACTGCAATTTTTTTAATGATTCTTTTCTGCCCTAAAAAAAGAGAAAATAGTCTTATATTTTAATACTTAATCCTAAGGTGTGAATTTGAACTGCTGCATTTTATATTTTCAAATAATTGAGGTATATTTCAGTTTGTGGATCTTTGCAAATGTCCCTTTCCTTCTGTGTTTGAACTGTCATTCCCTATTTTTCAAGGGACTTAAAAATCATGTTATTAATCATAATCCAGTGGGTGGAAGAGAGTAAGCTTTCTGAAGAAGAATAATAAGTGGCAGCCACTTGTTGGCAACAGTCAGCTGCACAGAGAGACCGTGTGGTTCACCAATAGTACTAAGGTGCTACTTACCATACTGGATGCCTCTCCATTAACGGTGGACTTGGAAGTGGTTTTGTCATTGGCCTGGCCCGGTTTTCTGTGTGGTTAAGGCCTTATGCATCATCTAACGCTTCCCCTCCATCCTCATCTGCTAACTATTTAGCCATATGACTATGTCAGAATTCTTCTTTTTTGCCTTTACCTCAGTTAAAAGAACATTTGAATGTTTAAAAACTTAGTTTAGTTTACTTTTTGAAAGAGTAATACACATTCATTGTGGATATTTTAGAGAAAAAAAAAAAGAGCAGCAGCAGAAAATTGAAGTCCCTTGCAGTCCTATCACCTAGCGTCGGGCTTTTTAGTCTTTCCTGTGTATGCAGGTGTCTGCTTGGGAGAGTTGGGGATAGTAGACACATTTTTAGAAAAATTTATAGAAATGGAACCCTACTGTGCATACTGTTTCATGACCTGGTCTTTATAGGGGGGCAGTCTTCACATTGATCTTTCAGTTGTTTAAGCAATTTTCCTTTTTTCCTTCCTGCTGGAAAGCTGGTATGTACTCACCCGAAGTTACCATAGTCCCTTCCCTTTAAAGAATGTGAAGTGGAGTTTGACCACAGAAAGATCTGTGTTGGACCTTACCCAGTCTACATATTTTAGATCCAAAATATTCCCAATAAGATTTTTTTCTCTTATGACTTAATGGGCTGTGTTATAATAACTATCCAGTCTCTGCTTTCTTCTAAACAATGATCTCACTTCCAGATTATCGCTTACAGAAAAATTTCATCCTTAGAACTGATCCCTGTTAGTTCCTCCCTTTTGTCAGCTTCCTGAGGATCCCAGTGGCTCCAACTCTGGTTTGTAAGGGACTGTGTATTTATACCTACATAAGTGACACTAGCTTTTTACTTTCAAATTTGTGGGTTAAAATTTCTTTTAAAAAGCAAACTAGGCTAGGTACAGTCATGCCTGTAATCCTGGCACTTTGAGAGGCTGAGGCGGGAGGATTGTTTGAGACCAGGAGTTCAAGACCAGCCTGGGCAACATAGCAAGACTTCATCTCTACAAAAAAATAAAGAAACCTAGCCAGGCATGGTGGCATGTGCCTGTAGTCCCAGCCACTCCAGATGCTGAAGTGGAAGAATTATCTGAGCCCAGGAGGTAGAGGCTGTGGTAGGCCATGATTGTGCCACTGCACGGTCCTGGGTGACAGTGAGACCCAAACTCAAAAACAAAAACCAAAAACAAAGTAGTAGATGTGGTCATTTCCTTTTCTGTCTTTTCTTAGATCATCTTTATGAATTTGAATTTAGCAGTGAGGTTCTATTTTCCTGGAAGTATCTTCGATGAAATTTAAAACAGTCATAAATTTTAATCGTAAGTGATTTTTTTCTCCACTCCCCCCTTCCCATTTGTCTTTTAGGTAAAGAAGTTAAAAACGTTTAGTGGCGACGTGTCCAAGCTGTCCCTGGCAGACTCCTTTCTATACTGCTTAATTCAGGTGCCAAAGTAAGGACATAGTCACTGATTGTTTTTCTTTGCAGAGGAACATTTTTAGACTAACGACATTAAATTCTACAGTTTTATTTTTTATTTTTCAGCTATTCACTTCGGATTGAAGCCATGGTGCTAAAGAAGGAATTTTTACCTTCTTGTTCTTCTCTATATACAGATATAACAATTTTAAAAACTGCTACAAAAGGTAAGTACGTATATCATCCTTCATACCATTTGTTTTTATTAATCTTGGTAGCAACTTGAAAAAAATTCACTTGAAGTTGGAAATGGAAAGTCCCAAGTTTCTGATATACCCTAAAAAGGGAAATGAGATGTTCCCAGGGATGCCTTTAAAGTTTATTTCTTTTTACTTTTTTTCGTTATGAATTTTTTTTTTTCTGTACCAGGGTCTCTGTTGCCCAGGTTGGAGTGCAGTGGCATGACCATAGCCATCATAGCCTCAACCTGATGAGCTCAGATGATTCTTCCACCTCAGCTTCCTGAGTAGCTGGGACTACAGGCTTGCACTACCAGGCCTGGCTAACTTTTTGATTTATTGTTGAGTTGAGGACTCACCAAGTTGTCCTTTCTGGTCTCGAACCCTTGGGCTCAGGCAATCACAAAGTGCTGGGATTACAGGCATAAACTACCACGCCTGGCCTCTGATTAATATTAATTTGCCTATTATCCTCCCATTAAAGCAGGTATCCCCAACTCTCTTGACCACAGACCACTCACAGGCCAGTGCCAGTCTGTGGCCTGTTAGGAACTGGGCCACGCAGAAGGAGGCAAAGCTTCATCTGCCTTTTTTTTTTTTTTTTTTTTTTTTTTTGAGTTGGAGTCTCACTCTGTTGCCC